TGATATAAAAGCTTTTGAAAAACATAAGTGATTAAAACTTTTGATTTTTATTTAATCTGAAGTAAATACAAATTTTTGAAGTAAATAATTAAAATTACAATTTTAAAACTTAAAGAAATGTTTTGAAGCTTTTTAGAGAGAAGATTTTTAGAGAGAGAAGGTTGCAGAAAATGTTTGTGTGCTCCTTCTGATCCCGAAGCTGGGTTTTATAGGGGATGTGAAGGAATCTTCATTATTAGCTTTGTTGACTTATTTGCCTTCTACTTTTTTTGTCGACTTTTAATTGGTGCGTGTCTTTCTCTTGGGTCCAGCTGAGTCAGAGTTATCTGTCTATTTTTGTTGTGAGGCAGTGATTGGTGCCGACAGTCTGCAGTGGGTCTTCTTGTGGGTCTCGCCTGTCTTGTCTTGTCGGTTTGCATAAGTCTTGATCTTCTAGAATTTGTTGATATTAGAATACATCTTTGTTCAGATATACTCTGTATTTTATTTTACAGAATAAAGTGTTTACCGATACATACATATTTTTTGAAAATAAAGGTAAAATAATACAACAAAAAACTATTATACAGAGGAATAGTTTTTTTGTTGTGAATTTGAAACGAAGTACCAACGGTGGGATGTGATCATGTTTGATGTTCTGACAAAAATCATATTCGAAATATATATTTGATTTTACCTTTTTTCTTATATCTATTGAATGCTAAATTTCGCGCTCAAAATCCATTTATCACACCTCCATGCGCAAGAGAGATGCAATCATGCAATTGTTTTTTATACCAACCATTTTTTTTGTTACATAGAGAAAACTCACTAGTATAAATAACTAGTACAATCCCGCTAAAAAGCATCAATTCGTTTTTTTTTTCCGTTAATCATATGCATCTTTCTCAAAAAAATCTATGCTTCTAATCAAAATCGAATCTCAATCTTGACCAGTGAAAACAAATACATGTTTATACATAAAGCCACTTGATTAGATTATACATACAAAGTATTTAAAATTTGGGACCAGAGGATCTAACATGCAAAGTTAGGCAAGGACCGTCAACAATATACGTATTTTAAAATTTTAGTTTGGCAAGATTTTTATAACAGATCTTTTATCATATCAATAATGATATAATGTTCTAGAAGAAGCCCATCACACAAGCAAACTTTGTTTCCGTAGGACACAAGGAACATGTGATGATAAACAGAGAGACGAACACTTGATCCGGAAATAAACCCTAAACCATTCACCAAAGCTTGCCATAGAAACTACAAAACAACATTTTCCTTGAGACTTGCATACAAATTTAATACTTTTGCTGGCTCATTCGAAGAAGGTTTATCCCGATTTGATTCGACCTAAACTCTCAGACACAGATCTCATCCTAGGACGCATCTCTGAATCCATTTCCGTGCAGTTTAAAGCGACACGAATGGTTTCAAGAACTTGTTTATCGGCGAAATCCTGATTTAGAAGCTTCGGATCTAAGATCTCGGCCAACGATCTCTCTTCCTTGTGCCACTTCCTCAAAGTACTAACGAGTTCTTCTCCTTCGGTTTCATAGGAACCATTATATGGTAACCGACCAGTCAACAATTCCAATAGAATCACCCCAAATGAATAAACATCGCATTTCTGAGATGATTTGCAACCAGAAGAAGAAGCTCGGGCTTCGGGTGCAAGGTAAGCAACTTGATGAGCTGAGAGCCTTGTCGCCACTGTGTGGTCTATGCTTTGCATTTTGGTGGATTGTGAATGATCAGTTGGTAGTTTGGGATAACCCGAAACCAGACGTGTGAGACCGAAACCCGAAATGCGAGGATGTAGCTCATCATCTAACAGGATCTTGCTCGATTTTAAGTTGCCGTGTACATACTTTCTTGAACTGTATTCATGTATATACATCAAACCCCGAGCTGTCCCTTGTACTATACGTAACCTCTCAGCCCAAGAGAGCGGAGGCCGAGTATTCGNAGGTCCACCTACAACAAAACAAATGCCATCTCAGTAAGCCACCTACACAGAATGCCTCAAAACCACAAACATAGCTCAAGAAAATGGACCCTAATCTAATACACCTGATAACAGAACCAAACCTATCACGCGTACGTTACCAAAGAAGATATAGCAGAGGTTAAGGTTAAACACATAAAGCTCTTGTTTGATAATCTAATCTCTACCCAAGTAACAAGACAAAAATCTTCTTTTATGTCACATTAAACACTGTCTAAAGTTCTAAACTACCATTGAAATCACCTAACTGACCACACAGGACCACAAACACACAACGCCTTTATCTATTCAATAACTCCATAGAGAAACCAAATCTGTTACTTTGTTTCTTTCTAGTAGGTAAAGAAATCCCCATGCTTCTCCTTGATCTGTAATGTTTCAAGTTTTCAACACATGTAAAACCCATAAAGCTTTAAACAATAAAACAACAAAGAGAAGAAACCAACAAGTTTAGTCACTATACCAAAATCACACAAAAGGACAAAAAGCTCTGCACTTTGTAGTCATATAACCATCCAATTCAAGAACACAATAAAATGCAGACTTTAGCACTAAATTTGGAAGATTTAAGAAATAGATTTAGTGTTGTTACCATGTAAAGCAGAGTACAAGCTTCCATTGGTAATGAAATCAGTGATTAGAAGCTTCTCATCCTCTGCATAATAGTAAGCACTTAGCTTAACAATGTTTGGATGATTGATCCTACTCATAATCTCCACTTCGTTCTCGAAATCCTTAAACCGCCACGTGGCGTTACCGTCGCCGAGCCTTCTAACGGCAACAACGTCGGAGGATGATTCCGTCGTCACTACTCTGTACACAATCCCGCTCCTGCTTTTACCTATTACATAAGCCGATGCTCTCAACAAATCCTCAAGCTCAAGCTCGAATCCTTCATCAAACGCTACAAATTTACCATCTTGCCCTTCTTCGTCGAACTCTGTCTTCGACTCTGTTTTGTACTCGCCGGAGCTCTGTTTTCTCCGGATTAACCAAACCGATACAGAAACCGCTCCGATTAAAACCCAAACTCCTGAAATCAAAGAAACCGTTACCGATCCTGAGATCTGCTTCTTCTCCTTGACAATAACGCTAGGGTTTGGTTTCTGGAGATTCTGAGTGTTTTCCGGTTTCGAAGTGACGAAAGTTGGGATTTTTATTTCTTCGCATTGTGTCTGTAATGGAAACCCACAAAGATGAGAGTTTCCGGCGAATGCGATAGGTCCTTGATTCATCAGAGAACCCACCTGAGGTACTTTTCCGGTGAGATTATTGTAAGCGAAGTCCAAACTTACATAAACAGGAAATCGACCGTACGATGGTGGAATCTCGCCGGTGAATCGGTTATAAGAGAGGTTTAAGATTCCGACGAGGCTTCCGAGTTCAGCGAGTGACTCGGGAAGTGACCCGTTTAGATGATTGGAAGAGAGATCGAGGTGGTTGAGAGATTTCACGGATTTGATTTGAGGTGGGATTTGGCCGGAGAGTGAGTTGTGTGAGAGATCGATGTACCGGAGTTTGGTTGCTTCGAAGAGACGAGCCGGTACGAGTTTTGTGAAATTGTTGTGAGATAGATCGAGTCGGATAAGTGAGTCGAGTAGACCGAGTTCCGATGGAATGTAACCGGAGAGGGTTTTTCCGGTGAGTATAAGTGATGTGACTCGGCCGTTTGTGCAGGTGATTCCGGACCAATGACAAGGAGTTTTGTCGGATTCGGACCAGTGGTGCATCACTCTTGTCGGGTCGTTATCCACGGCGGATTTAAGAGCAAGAAGAGATAAACCATCGGAATTCAGAGAGGAACAATAGCTCATGCAGAGAAAGATTGAAGAAACAAGAAGTGATAGTAATTTCATCATTTTCTTGTTTAGAATGAGAAGAATCTTGAAAACAC